CCTTCACGGTGCCCACCATCGTGGTAGAGGACGCGCAGGGCAAGCGCCGCTCCTCCATCGAGGGCTCCGAGCCCGCCAAGACCTCGCTGCAGATCACGGGCCTGGTGGCCACCATTGTCTTCATCTACGACTGCCTCATGGGCTTCCCCGTGCTGGTGGGTGAGCCTGTGGTTGTGGGGGGCTCTGGGGCAGGGGCGCTGCGGACATTAGGTGCTTGGATCCTCACACCCAATCCTCTAACGGGGGGGGGCGTTATCCCCATCCTCACTTTAAAGGCTTGGAAAACGAGGTTCAGAGAGGGACAGGACTGAGGAGCCAGAGTCAGGACGGCCATGGTGGGACTTGAACCACCTCGGGGGCCTTCTCGGCCCAGGGTCTTCCCGCCACATCGCAGGGGACTTTCCCACCTGAGTGAGGCCCAGTGGGTGCAACAGGCATGAAAGTGGGGTCACGGCTCCAGGTCCGAGGATGTGCGGAGTGAGGCTTTGGTCCTGCACTGGGGGGCCAGGCAGGCTTTGGATGTCTGCTGGGGAGTTGGACTTCACCCCAGGGGCTGAGGAAGGTCACGGTGAGGTCTGGCCGGAGGAAGGCTCTGCCAACAGGGTCCAAGTTCCATAGAAACCAACTGGGGTCCTGCCCGTGAGGCCGGGCTGGGCCTCCCCACCGTGGGCCTCTAGCCCAGCCCCCTGAAGGGTCTGGAGCAGGACAGGGACAAGGACCAGCCAGAGGGCTCGCCCAAGCCGCTGGGTGGGGCTGTGCCCTGTAGACACAGCTCAAGAAGGTGACGGGTGCGGTGGCAGCCTCACAGTCAGGGTGCAGCCACCTGCGGCTCCACCTTCAGTGGGCCCAGCACCCCCCCCCCCAGGGATGGGGTCCTCCTGTGTTCAGCAGAGCCTGGGGTCCCCGTCCCTGTGCTGAGGGAGGGAAGAAGTGTGTATGAAATTGTACCCCCAGCTTCTCTTCAGGGCAGGAAAGGGGGTGCCATTTATGGAGCCCACTCCATGCTGCAGGCCTGGTACAATGCCTGGAAGCTTTGCCTCATCCTATAGGGTGTTCTTGCCCCATTTCTCAGATGAAGAAACTGAGTCCCAGAGAGGTTCAGTGCCTTTCTGAGGGGCACGCAGCTCGCGTGGCAGAACCAGCGTGATGTCTGCACCGTGCCTCTCCCTCTCTGGTGGGGAACAGCCACTCTGGGTGGGGGGTGGGAGTGGAGGAAGGAGGCACCCTGGGCAGTGACCCAAAGACCACCTGGCTGGTCCTTGTCCCTACATCCCAACCCTCTGAGCCTCCGAAACTGCTCTGATTCTCGTCCTCTGGGGCCTGAGGCCTAGCCCCCCAGAGCAGGGGCAGGGCCGAGGAGGCCACGGCAGAAGTGAGCAGGACAGAATGGTCCTGCACTGGGAGACGGGAAACGTGGTTCTGCAAGCCCGTTTCCTCTTCCCAGAAAGGCGGTGGGAACCCATGCCCCGCTCTGTCCTCGGGCAGTCCGAGGGTGACGTGAGGGCAGGCACGCCCAGGGCTGTGACTGGGTACCTTGGCAGCCAGCAGCTCTCGGGCAGGGACTTCCGCCCTCACTCTCTGCCTCTTTCCTGCCCCAGAGTCTAGCGCTCTGTCTCCGCCACCCCCATCCTCGGGCAGGTGGGCACAGCCATGCCACCCAGACGGGAGGCCAGTCTGGGAGGGGACACGGTGGAGGGTCCTGCCGGGTGCCAGGCGAGCACTGTGCCCACAGGTGGTGAGCTTCAGCAGCCTGCGGGCGGACGCCTCGGCACCCTGGATGGTGCTGTGCGTGCTGTGGTGCTCCGTGGCCCAGGCCCTGCTGCTGCCCATCTTCCTCTGGGCCTGCGACCGCTACCGCGCCGACCGCAAGGCCGTCTGGGAGAAGTGCACCGCGCTCATGGCCAACGAGGAGGACTCGGGCGATGGTGAGGCTATCCCGAGAGTGGCCCCCGAGGAGGGGGCATCTGGGTGAGGTCACTGGAGTCACTGTGATAACAGCTGTAAGGCGGCCACCCCATGGCACCGAGGTCCCACAGTCAACCCCAAACACCCCCTGGATTACTCCTGAATGCGCTCGAACCCCTAAGGGACCTCAGTGTCCCTCCCAGGGGGCATTCTCTGTCCCACTTGCCTGCCCCAGGCAGGGCTGTGCCCCAGACTATGTGCTCTGAGCTTCCAACCCCAGGGGTGCCCAGCGGCTCCCGCAGACCCAGGGCCTGTCTCCCCGGCAATGGGAATGTTATCCTCAGCCAAGAGCTTGCTACGTGCCGGGCACTGTCAGCCCCTGTGTGTACTTAGCTCCTGAGGTCGCACCCCCACCGACAGGAAACTGGCTCCCCAGCCCCAAAGCTGGAAGGTGGGGAATCGGCATCGGTACCCAGGACCCGGCCCTTCCTCTTCCCCACTAACCAGCCCTCGGCCCTGTGTGTGCCTGTGGGGGACCCTGGACTAGCTCTCAGATGCCCCCAGGCTTCCCTGACCCCTGACCCTAAGCCTCTGCCCCGCCCTGCAGACACCAGCCTGGAGGGGGGCCTGCCCCAGGACCTGGTGCTGGAGCGCTCCCTGGACTACAGCTGTGGGGACGACTTTGTGGCCCTGGACAGGATGGCCAACTATGAGCTGCCCCTGGAGGGGGCCCTGCCCCATCTCTACCCGCTGGGGCCCTTGCAGGAGGACAAGATGCAGTACCTGCAGGTAGGGGCGGGGCGGGCTCCCAAGGTGCGGGCGTAGCATCCTGTCCTGTCCCCAGGGCCTCTCCCCTCTGAGCGCATCTCCTGCCTGCCAGCTGGGGTGGTGGGGGGAGAGAGCTTCACCTCCCAGATGGGCAGCCCGGGGGCGGACCTGTGCAGGTGGGCGCCCCAGCCCTGCCCCCGTCGCCATGTGCTCTGGCGGAGTGTGCGCCTGGCGCTTGGTATTTCCTTGGGGCTCAGCGCCTCAATCAAGGGGTCCCCTCACCACCCAAGGGACAGGTGATGCTGAGCCTCGGACCGAGGGATTGATACCTGCCCCTAGGTCAGGTGTGGATCGTTGCTGATCCGCAAGGCGCCCTGCCCCGCGTGGGTCCCTATTTGCTAGGCGGCACCCGGGCTAACCCGTCGGTCCCCACAGGTCCCGCCCACGCGACGCTTCTCGCACGAAGATGCGGACCTCTGGGCCGTGGTGCCGCTGCCCGCCTTCCTGCCGC